ACCGCATCACCATTATGTCTATTAACACTTGAAACAGAGCTAACTAGATTATGGTAAGGTTGTGCTCAATTAATGCAGATAAATAATGCAACGGTTAAAAAGATGTGAAAAATGCAGTATTACGGAAAACGTACATATATATACATTATCAGGAAGAGCTTCACTCACCCAACAGTATTGCAGAATTAACTTGATGCATTAAACTGTCTTGGCAGCATTTTAGTTACTTGCTTAAACTTGGCTTGAATGGAATTTAATTATTACCTCTGTTCTGAAACGATATGAAACGAAAAGATGCATTGAGTATGAAAATTGGTTAATGACACAGATGGGTTGAGTGGAGAAAAAGCAATAATGCCTTCCGGCAACAATATTATGAAAAGTAATGTAGATGAAAATAAGCAACATAATGTAGAAGCAAGTAAGTAACAATGCGGAAGAGGAAAACCAAGTTGTCCCTTACTTGTCTGGTCCAACACAACTGGCACTGCTGTGGCACCACTATTGGCATCAGGTTGATTATTAACCACGTTGGCATCTTCTTCTGAATTGGCCACTGGTAAATCACTGGGAGTGGGAGGTCCAGCTTTTTCAGTTGAACTAGTGCTGGCCTGAGATGTGTTTAGAGGTAAAGATTAGGTGGTTAAAATAGGACGTATGGTGTAGACAAAAAGTTTACTGTTTGACAGTGGTTAAGGCTCAAGCAAAATAAATTCCAAGAAAATCGTATATAATAAAACAAAATTGATGAGAAACTTGTAGAGCAACAAGCTTGAAAAGAGAAGGCTTCAACAATTCTTTCAATTTTAAACCTCTAATAACTTTGAGCCTCATGGTTACTGTAGCACACAGCACAGTACCTGCAAAATCTCAATGACATCAGGATGATCTGCTCGAGCAAATTTCGCTGGTTTTGTGCTCCCGTCATCTTGGAGATGCCAGGTATCAATGTGCCGCTTTCATGATGACAAGTTGTTTCTTATTATTTTGCAGTTCTTAAATTTTTTCCCATCTCCCAGACAGGTTAAGCAATAGTGCAGGTCTTTTGAAGAAGTAGTTTTACCAATTGGTTGATGCTGCACTGATGATGATGATGAAGTTGAAGCTATAGCAGATAAATCAGTTCTACAAGATGGCCTTTTCTGGCAACTCATCAGAACTGAAAATGCTGAAAATGAAGAATATGTAATCATGCATGGTAACTTTTGAACACTAAGAATAATTTTCTAAGTTTTTAAAAGAAAATGTAATATACTTTGATTGGTATGAGCTAACAAAATTCATTGAAACAGTCCTACAGGATACAGCCAGTGATAGAAGTCAATTAACCAGAGATAGCAGTGAATCAAAACGCCATAATAGGATGATGGGAACAGGCACAGGGTTAGATTTTGGCCCTGTGTCTTCAATAGTTGAAATACTTCTGAAATGCTATTAAAAATATGAATTCAAAATGGAATAGAAAAAAATAACTTGGAATTTATTACCAATTTAAGGTGCAATTTGCAAAGGGTAAAGGGTGCAAGATTCTATCTGGACAAATATGACAATTAGACAACTAATGCCAGTCTAGCATATGGCATGTGCCAGATTTTGGATGAATTCAGAGTTTCAGACACAGGTCACATGTGCAGAGGTGACTGAGGTGCACAGCGCAACTATCAAATAAAGCTATCACTCAGCCTATGCTGCCTATCAGCTATGTAGACAGTGGAAGTAAATTCATCAGCAAATTCATGCTTACCATTAACATCACCCATTGACTTATTTTGCCTTGAATCCATCTCAGTAGTCAGTTGGTAATTGGTACGTATGCCATATGTCAGCAGTATAAGTATTGTCACTAGACACTATTGAGGCGGTATGGTACGTTTACAATTTTGAATTTTGTAATACCAATTTTGTCAAAATTTCTAATACCACTTGAAACCATGAGGAAAAAAATGGACAAAACTCTCATTGATATTTGTAGCAATAGAATTATAAAAAATACACTAGTAAAGAAGAAAATAATCATCAAAATTACTTCAGAAAGTGGCCCAAGATGCAAGATTAGACCTTTTCAGTTTCCAAAATTAAAAATTCCAATAGCTTATAGCCATATTGCATTAAAATTTAAGGCAATGAGCCATTTCGGATTTAGATTAGAAAAAAAGCATACGCATCGCATTTGCATGTAAATGCGTGAAGAGGAATTTGGGGTGAATCAATTGATGAAAATAATTATTTTCAAGAGTTGAATTATTTTCATTTGTAAATATACATAGTATTACTATTATATAATGATAGAAATCTGTAATTGTGTTTTAATTGCTAAATAGTGTGAAATGCAGCAGTGATAATCATAAAACAAAATTCTTTAGAGCACTATGGGAGAACACTTGCAAATTGCTCCATAGGTCCGTAGCAAGCAAATAAAACAAATTTCTTGATAAAAAAGAAAGTGGTCATAAAATGATAAATATAGTTGTATCAAGAGAAGTCAAGATTAATGAACCACACCACAAATCATTCACCGTCCATAATGCACTCACGCCCCACTAATAAGTGCTAATTGCATAAAAAAACACAGGCACCAGAAGAAATCTATCTTATTTTTAAATTTTCATTTTTATTGCAACGACAAAGGTTAATTATAGAGGTGAACAACAAACATTAATAAAAATGAGAATAGCTTCAGAGGGACACATCACACTCAAAGTCGAAGATAGTTCCGCATTACTTTAAATGTACAGACGATGTTGCCATTCCATTCTGATGAAAACTGTGTCTTAATCAGAACTGTGTCGGACAGCTCCACGCCGAGTGCTGTGCGGCGTGGAATCAATGACCGTGATTTGCGCGAACGCCTGCGCAAAGAAGATATAATTAGATTGTTTTGCACAAACCTGTGCTGACCAGGGCTTCAAAAAACTATTTATGCGCGGGAAATTTCCCCGTTTATATACATCTTCCTGAGTGTGGGTCTAGACATAGCTGTCATCAGAAATTCCCAATGTATTGGTATGGCAATATCATATTTACTTTACAGACTTTTATGTAACACTGATACATTGTCATGTGTCATCACTGTCATGTGATGTGTCTCCTTGAAACCATTCTTATTTTATTAAGGTTTGTTGTTCGTTAATATAATTAACCTTCAGAGTTGCAAAAAATGAGAACTGATAATTAAACAAAAATATTTGGTGCCTGTATTGTTTTATTCAATGGGTTTTTGCCACACAAACCATTTCACCGGTCGGGCGGATGTCGGGAACATAACATATTGCCAACATTGACATACAGGTTTGTACTACTTGCCAAAACCAGTCTTTCATTAGAAGGCACTGATCTCAAGCCATGTTGATTGCTGCCTTCTATTCGTCAGTTTAGTAATTCATCTCCAACCGAATTGAGATATATGAATAAAGAATAAATATTCATAACTGTGCCAACTCTCAGAACCTGGGTTACCACGATAGAAATATAGTCAACTTGATGCAGATATACATTTGTGTGTGATGGCGCTGCCGTGCATTCATCTTTAAACAACTTTAGGAGCACAGCACATTTTTTTACTGGCATATTATGGCGCATGGGGCAGATTGATAAAATGACAACATAAATTCCCGCATGCCTGGCACATCTTCCTGACAATGGGGCATTTTGGCAAGCCAGAGATTTTTTAGAATCAGTTCATTTTTAATTTCTTTATTTAATCAAGATTTAAACCAATTTTTTATGTACAATACTGGTAATCCTGGTATGAGTGGTATCCATGATACTTCACTGATCTATTTAATATGACCTAAAAAAATGAACTTGAGTAAGAGACTAAAAAAGTCTCTGCTTCACCTCTGTGTGTTCAGGTGCCACTTAAGTGAAGACAAATGTTAGTGTTGCTGTACAATTGGACTCTTTTAGGGTAAAATTAGTTATTTGGGATAACATCTTTGTAAATAAGTTCGCGGCTCATATGTGGCTTTTCATGGCTGAGATATGGAAGGCACTAATTCTCTCACAGCTCAGATAAATGGAATTCACAGCTCAACAAAATGGAATCATGGCTGGCAAACCCATAAAACCATGGCTCAAAAAATCCAGTCACAGCTTGCCAAGTAGATATATTCCATGCCTGTTTTGATAAGGTAGCTGTAAAATGTAAAAATGCTAGTGTTTTCATTTTAATGCCAAATTTGTCAATGATACATGAAAAAACAATAATACACATGATTCTTTATTTCTATTCAAGTTCCATAAAAAAATATTGCCATTCCTGTGTGCCAAACTGAAAAATTGTGCAGAAGCCACTTGTGAATTAGACATAACTACCAAGAATCTGATAAATTTCACCCATTCAAATAGTTTATTCCCAATTTCTATTTATTCAATGAAAAATATTAAAAAGGGCCTACTTTTACCTGCAATTTCTGAAAATGACTATGAAATGATTCATTATTGCAATTTTAAGAAACTTTTGGCAACATTCCATATTGACCTATGCTATGACAGCCTATACTTATAAGCTATAGCTTGTTGCTATAAGCTATATATGGCCATATACATCATTTAAGCTATATATGGCTAATGGCAAATGATAAAAGTAGACTCCATGTGTTACAGTTGGTGCAGGTGACACACCAATCCAGATGGGCAGCATATAGAAATCCATGTGATGAAATGATTGCTTAATTGTTTTAGTTGGAAATAAATGCCAATTTAAGGTCAAGGTGTCTAGATGAAGAGCTTAATATGAAGCTAATATCAAGAAATAAAGAGCCATATGACATGTATAGGTATATAATTAACAGTCTGGGTCAGAACTAACCAAACCTAACTCTGCTAGAATCTGAGCATTCGTAACTTGTGCATAGCATTTAACTGGTAAACTCAGTGTCATCAAATATTTTTTACAATTAAGTATCACTCGATGTTTTTATGCAATGGCTGAGAAGCATTATCAATTCTAGGAATATTCAATGGCAAATTTTACTGCAAAGCTGCAAGGAGTTAAGAAACTTCTGGAAAAACCAATTTTGTCAGAAGCAATCTCTCAAAACCATGTAAATATTAGCCATGTATTAAGTTGGTTCATTTATGCACTTGCTTTGATTTTTCCCTGTGACCTTTAACTTGAATAGCAGAGCATTTAAAGATATAATAAGTTGGTGCTATGGCGGACTCCTCAGCTGACCTAAGAGCTAACAATCTGAATGCTGTGTCTGTGCCTGATCCTAAAAATGTGCAGGACCTCTCACAATATGTAAGTCTGTTGATGTTCAAACTCTGTTCTTTGTGCAGTCAGTGATCAAACTCTGTTTTGATCTAGTCTTATTCTGATGCCCATGACATTTCAGTTTATAATAATTTAGCTATTGGACATTCCCATATCATTTAGATTTAATCCCAATATTGTCCATAGTTTTGATGCTTTTTCTCAAGTTGAATAAATAAATTACTTGCTCTATGGTTGAATTAAACTCCGTTTTAATTTAATGGATGATAATATTTATCATAATTTTATACTTTATTGGCAGGTTGCAGTGCTGCTTCAGCAGATGCAGGATCGATTCCAGATCATGTCCGACCAGATCATCCATAGAAATATCCTTTAATGCTAACAACTCAATATATTGATGTTTCTTCATTTTATTTGCATTCTGTTTAAAATTCACTTGAATGCACTGCAAAATTACTAAATTTCCTAATTACTTGCCAATGTTTCTCTGTTATTTCATCTGCTAACCTCAGCTGTAACCTCATGCCACGCTATCTAAAAGGCTGTTGATCCTAATTCTCTTATTGCTTTGAGCTGATGTAAATTCTTTTATTTTGCAACAATAGTTCATTTAGCAACAGTTAATTTGGTTGTCATGAGTTCCTTGTTATCTTGGCTACAGTGCATTTGACTGGTGAATTCCCTGTTACCTTGGCAACAGTTCATCAATCTTGGCCATGTTTACAATCCTGATTTGTTGTACGAAGTGAAATACTCCACATCTCATGTTGTGTTTCTCATTCCTTTCTTCTTTCTCTCTCCATATTTTTTTCTAAATTTATCTTACTCATTCTATACTGTACCCTATCATTACATTTTCTTTCACCTCCTTCTTATTCTCCACTGTCTCCTCTTCATCCTCTTGCCATCAACACTCATCTCCCGTGACCCTGTGTGTGCCGTCCCGTCATCCTCCACGTCCCCCAATTAGCTGTTCATGATCCCATTAGCGGTTATCATGTCCCTCATTGTACCTAAATGCTACCTATTGCCAAGTGCCAATTAACTGCCTCAATTGTTCCTTAACTGCCCAGCACTAGACGAGATGGGTAACCGGATCGACGACCTCGAGAAGAACATCAGCGACATGATGGCACACGCAGGCTCTGACGACTCCACCGGCGAGAAGTGAACTGCCCCGTGGGACTCGGCTCAACTCTTGCTGTTGACTTGGCCGCCGCCCTGTGACTACATCCCTTTCATGTTTCATTCATGCTCATGCAATTGCTTGGTGGCTAAATTGAATTCATAACTCATTCTTGCTCGCGCAGTTGCTGGCATATAGATTCCTCTCAAACTCATCGAGCTTGTTTTATTCAAATGCCACTCGTACCCATCTGACAGAATGAAACAAAATTATATTCACTATCTTTAATTTTCTCTATTTTGCTCATCACAATAAAATGGAAATATCAACTGATTGTGCTCGAATGTAGTGATTTAAGAGTGCGGCATGTTGGTGAACCAGCATAATCTTGTACGAAAGGAAAGCTTATGTGTAGATGCTGGATTTGAACCGCAGCAGATGGCATATTATAATTAGAGATAATATACGAGAGAAAGGTTATGCAAGACGTGTTTGTAAACGTGTTGCTTAGGTAGGCCGTGTTTTCGTATTGCGACCTGAAACTAATGTGGAATTTGCAATAGCAATTTTTGAATTAGAACGCTCCTACAACCTGGCTGGAGCTGTTGGTGGCAGTGATCCACAGTTTGAATCTTCGCGTCGTCCACCTTCTTGCCTGGAGTGGTAATGTCTGAGAGCTTTGCTGTAGGACTCGTTTTCAGAGGCTTGCTAGGAGGCAACCCCACCTGAACCTCACATTCTTGGCTGCATACAAGCTGCTCTCGAGTTATGGTCTATGTCTATCACTTGCTCCTATTGCTGTGTATCTTGATGGAAATTAGATGTTCCAATTGCAACATTCACTCCGACGCTGCTCAGCCCCGGATGTCTCGTTACATAAATGAACTTCGCGAGATCGAAGGTTTTCTTATTCATTGCTGCAGCAGCATACTTCATTCATCAATGCATCGTATATTAATACTATCATTCAATTGTGGTGTAGATTCCTCCGTGTCGTCATATGCTTGTGTAAGCCTTCGTTCCTATAATTTCTAAGCTTAGATATCCTCTCAAGTTTTTTGTGGCGACCATCGCGACCAGCCAGCGCCATCACTCCATCAAACGGCCATCACTCGCCCGTCATCACACCTTCAAATGGCCATCACTCGCCCGTCATCACACCTTCAAATGGTCATCACTCGCACGTCATCACACCTTCAAATGGCCATTACTCGCACGTCATCACACCTTCAAATGGCCATCACTCGCACGTCATCACACCTTCAAATGGCCATCACTCGCCCGTCATCACACCTTCAAATGGCCATCACTCGCACGTCATCACACCTTCAAATGGCCATCACTCGACCGTCATCAGTCCATCAAACGGCCATCTCTCCATCAAAAACGGCCATCACTCCATCACATCAAAAACTAAATTCTCAACCTATGTTTCTTCCTTACCTCGTATCTCATTCCTGTACGCGAGCCCCTCACCAATTTATTCCAGCAATTTTTGTGCTGCCCGAGGTACGGCGCGTGCCGATGACTTTAACTAACGTAACAATATTTGTGCTATTCGTCTGTGTTGTGGAAGCTTTTGTTTATATTTCTATAAAAAACTTCATTGCGAGTCATGTTCTAATCGTTCACATGAAGCAAAGGGTATATGAAGTGTATTAATTCAGTGTGTTTCATATAGGTAATTTTATTTTTGCCCTCCAACGAACGTCTTCATCCCAGTAAAAATCATTCTGTGGAGATAAAATTAATTTCCTTGCTTGCTGCGATATCTACCGCTGTCTTGATGTTGTGTCTAATTTTATCTCATGAAATTTCAAAAGGGCGTCATATCATCCACCACCACACCACATCGGAGGTGCAGTCCTCACTCCGTAACGTTAAGGAAGTTAAACCACCGATAATTAACAGAGACATATAATTATTTAGACGCCATACATACAAAAATACACTAGCGCGGGCCTGATGTATCATACATACAGTGAAGTAATCGCAGTAATATTAGGTGAACCCTAGCACATATCTCCGCTAATGACAGCTGCGTCTCAATTTAAATGTGAACGGTGAATTTAATGCTCAAAAATTTAGCCAGAAGTATGGAAAAGAAAACGTTTACTAAATCCAGACCCAAATACTACTACTATAATATTTGTAGGTGTGCTTTATGCACGATTCGAGAGCAAAAATCTTCATGCAGTCAACTGACTTAACTGATTTGTAGGTCATTTGCCGAAAATTCATATTAATGCGGATATTGATGAATAATGCATAGGCATTGTTGAACTTACGAGCACCGTGATGAGCGGCTGAGCATGCAGCGCTCACACGTAACAGGTCTCGTACAAATTTAAACCTTTGTCGGTGAACACATAATGACGATCATTAATAAACATCATTAGTCTGCAAGGAACGTTTAGCAAACGCGAAAGCGGTCTCGTATCTGCAATTCGGTTTAACGAAAAATCGACTGGATCCTAAGCCATTATTTTCCAATTCCTGAAACGACACATGATGTTGTATGGTAACCTAAGAGTCGAAACAAATGATGAAGCGTTTGACTTTTAGTCAACATAAAGCATATCTTGTTACCAGGATTCAGGCAGGAAGAGCATTGACTGCCGTTAAAGGGTCCTTCAACACAGATAAAATTCTAATGAAAATCCGTAAATCTACGATGATCGTAAAGCCTACGATCGAAGTGAAGAATTCTGAGCAATACCAGGACATCAGGGGACAGGGGGGTGAACTGTTAGTTAATGATTATGTATAGGGCAGCGTTTAAATCATATGAATAAATGTTGACAACATTTGTGGCAGGGGTGACGTGCTGAGTATGACGTGATGAATGGTGATGAGGTGGAAGAGTTTCTCGAAAGAGAAAATGATTCATTATTTACCAATCTCAAAATTTCCGATTAACAAAATAAATTGTATACAGTAAATAATAAAAAACATAACGAGGAGCTCAGTCATTCGACCATAGCGCAGGAATCTTACATTAACTTGAAATTTCCAGTAACTCGTTAAACTTATACCAATCAATTACATAATTAACAACAGAATAACTAGAATTTGAAATCAAGCAAGGACACTGCACTGAATAATTTATAGTAAAATAACAAAAAATATAACTCAGTACTCACTGCAGTGAGTGACAGAGAGCGCATTTTCTCGTCGACGAAAACTTGAGGTCACGGACAGACAGACAGACGGATGGACATAGCGAGCACAATAGTGCATTTTTTCCATAAATGAGAAAATGCGCGTTGGTGGTGCAGGAGGCCAGGTAGCACTTAAGACTCGAAGGTACTAAGTGCTTCGGAGGTCGTAAGTGTTACAATTATCCATTATCATAACTGGCTGTGACATCCGAAAGATGTAGGCATCATTAAAAAAACAGCAGATTTCGTCAATTTGTGAGGTTTTCTGATTAATTTTTTAAACAACTGCAGCGTTAATTCGGCAATGACGCACTCATTTTTTCTAGAATAGATGCGCAGATGAAGGCAATGCTTCATGCGCTACAGTGCATGTACTGCATTTGAATATCGACATTCCTTGCAAAGAATGTCACTGCTAACCGCCGTTGCGTCCAATGTAGGAAAAACAATATAGCAAATATACCCCAAACACAGACAAGATACGCTAGTCAACATTCCTCAGCTACACAATAATCACAGGTATAGGTTCAGTGCATCGCTGAGGACCACAAAACAGTTCAACGCTGAACGCATGAAAAAACAATACAACGTGACATTTAATCAGACATTACATATTGTTCTCAAATAAGCCCGCATATGTATTGTTCATCACTACCACAATACTCAGTTTTTCTTATAAACTGAAATACAGAATAAACTTTAACGACCTCAAAAGTTTAGGAAGAATGGATGAACAAGAATTCGAGTTAGGTTTATAGTTTGGTAAGCTACTAAGACACTTCATTTAAAAATGCCGTTAACATATCATGGCTGAGGTATTCTAGTCTAAAGTAGCTCCTTGAATCTTTCCCTGGATAATTTTACCAGCCAGAACTGCTCCATAGCGATCAGATTACACACACTCGCACAATATTGACATTCAATTGAGTCCTCGTGAGATAATTCAAGTGCTAGTGACTGTTCCGGTTATCCGACTAAACTACTGAATTCAAAGCTCTGTTACTCTGTAATAAATAATCAGCGCGATTGGTTTAATTGTTCTTGCCAAAAACATGGAGCATTTGAAAATACTTGTACGAGAGTGAATGGCGGTAAATTTCATGCACTAAAAATAAAATAAAATGACAGTGTTAATGCTAGAGTGGTGTTCAGTAATGGACTCATAATATCACGTATCGGAATCACCCCCAACACAAACCACCACCTAGAAAGCTTAAATTCAACACTTTTCTTTGACAAAAACAACCCCCGAGAAAAACATAAGCAAACCACAAAAAATTCTGAAGCTAAAATATGATTTTGCAATCCCTCACTTCTTTATGGCAAATCTAGCATAATTAAATTATTAGGTATAATTTATTTCAAAACTTCGAAACAAAATTACCGTAATCAACTTTCATTAGACTATAATTTACTCAAGATTTGATTAGTTTTATCCTTTCCAACCACGTCCGAATAGCTTGTCAGTAGGTATTAACTTAACTTAAAAATGAAATAGGGGAAAATATCATAAATTCAACCTTTTTCTGTCACATTTTATCTGCCCACCACTCAAGGTAGCTATATTATCAGCACTTACGATGGTCAAATGTGAAAAACGAACAAAATCACGCAACATTATCACTAATCGCCAGGCCATTGGCTTCGTTTGGTACAGATGTATTGCTTGCAGTGACATTTTTTGCAGTCACATTGCCTGCACTGGTATATTTTTTCCACAGACATTGCAAGCAATATCATTATTTACACAGAAATTGCTTGTGGTGTGGTGAAATTGTTTAATTAAAGTGGTGAATCTTTGAGTAGTGTTGTTTACAATTGCAGAGTTGAGTGTTCGCATTTGGTGACACCGTTTGTAGATAAAACGTTTATCTAGTATAGGTGCACGTCAGTAGCCTTGAGCAATATTCTCTTCATGGTCACACGGCAGTGACCATATAGAGCATATTGCATAAGAAGGCCTTGACACTGAGGGGCACCACACCAGAAGGCCTCGACACTGAGGGTCACCACATCAGAAAGCCTTGGCACTCAGGGGCACCACATTAAAAGGCCTTGGCACTCAGGGGCACCACTTCAGAAGGCCTTGACCTGAAGGGCACCACATCTGAAGGCCTAGACACTGAGGGGCACCACATCAGAAGGCCTTGGCACTCAGGGGCACCACATTAAAAGGCCTTGGCCCTGAGCGGCACCACATCAGAAGGCCTTCTTGGCCCTGAGCGGCACGAACTCCTCCTTGAGGTAATTGAAGAAGGCGAGCAGACCGTACCGCTTGCCGCCCTGCTTGCTGAAGTACCCGGTCACAAAGTCATCATCTGCACACCATAGCAAGGGTTAACAGCAGCTGCTCATTGCACTGTTGGGTCCAGGTGTAATCATGGGACATTGATATGGGATATGTTCTTGAGAGTTTGTCATTATGTTTGTCATCTTGAGAGTTTGTCACGTCGTTAGTGGCAGGTGGCATGAGCCAGCTTGTCTTCATGCTTATGTCATGAGTGGCAGGTGGCATGAGCCAGCTTGTCATCATGATTACGTTATGAGTGGCAGGTAGCATGAGCCAGCTTGTCATCGTGATAACGTCATGAGTGGCAGGTGGCATGAGCCAGCACGTATTGATGCAGCTAGGATCTATTGAAAAATCACATACGGTCTCTTAGATGCATAACCTGTAGATTGATTTTATCGACATTTTATTAATCAGGACCAAATATGGATGACCCTTAAACCACACTCTAGCTTGACCAGGTATAGTATGTTGCAGAGCAATGTCCACTGTTACAGTGGTAAATGTTGAATAGATGAAACTTGATACTAACGTGTGATATACTGATAATATAATATTATATATGGACTATGGAGCCAAAGACATACTGGAATTGAGGAGAGGGGCAGTCTCTGCTCTGGTAGGTAGAATGTTCTCATTCGCTGAGAGTGACAGGAAGAACCCAAAGGGCACCAGCCACACACACAGAGTGAAGTACGCCACCACCTGCACAGAGTGCAACTTTTTCTTAATCCATAAATTACCGCGCCAAACTAGCTGTCTGCAGAAACAAAACTGAATAAAAAATATAACTCAGTACTCACTGCAGTGAGTGACAGAGAGCGCATTTTCTTGTCAACAAAAACTTGAGGTCACAGACGGACAGACAGACAGACATGGCAAGCACAGTAGTGCATTTTTTCCATAAATGAGAAAATGCGCTAAAAAGAAGAAAACTGAAGATAAATACTGAGCTCTAAGTCATTTGAGCAACTTGGTGGCTTTAAAACACCTTTGCCTCTCAACATCATCAACGTAAACTCTAAGTTGTCAAATTTCTTGCTCATGCATGGGGAGTTAAAAGCCTGACCTCTGACACTGGGTAGTAGGTGCTGTTGAAGTATGAGAAGGCCAAGCAGTGCTGAACTATGAAGGCTCCTGCTCAGAGTAATTTCCTGTCAGTTAATTGATCAATTGATTCAGAAGAAATATCACACTAAAGGCTGACTCTTCATCAGCTAATTATCGCTTTCAGTTGTTTTCATTATACTATACAATTATACAATAATGTATTATATATGCAGGTACAGTATTATTTAAAAATTTACCAATCAGCCACAGAAGTAATAGGCAATTTTTTCCAACACAATGCAGAGCGGAATAAAAATTACTTCAAACAAAAATCATTGTAGAGACTGTAACTTACCTACTGCAGCAATGAAGGGAGGTGAGGATAGATAGAAGAATGGGAAGTGGGTCAAGAGTGAGAGATGCAGCAGTTGACTCACAAAACCCAGCACAATCACACTGGTAGGCAAGCTCTCAAAGCAAGCCAGTAATATGTACAACACAGTTGTCACCTGCAAAACATAAGGGATATGAACTATAAACATGTTTCTGTGGTATATGTTGAATTCTTTGAATTAATTGAATTATTATCCTTCAATTTTGAAGGACATCTTGTCAATTTTAATCAACTTTCGATTTAGTTGTTTTGATCATCAATTTCAGAACCATTTTTTTTTTTTATTATTCTTGATGGCAGTGTTTTCAATGAATTTTTATAGTAAAATATTACAGAAAAATATAACATTTTTTACATTAAACAATGCTAGCTGATATCAATGCACACTTGCGCTATTTTACACTTTCAAAAGCATATGGATGAAATTATGGAAAAGCATATATTCAAAAGGAAGTTACTCACCCATATGACTATACGGATTATTTTTGCAGTTAAATTTGTAAACTCCTCCACCAGCTCAGCAAGGTAATATAAAGCAGCCGCTGCAAATACAAGCACCCAAAGTTAATTAGAATTTGTAATGACTAAGCCTCGTAATTAGGCACATCATGCATTCTAAATTTCTGCTCACTATCTTGATTGACCAGACAGAACAGATAATATTTTTGAAATCAGATAAATATGAACAAATTATTTTTGAAAAAAAAACTTAGCTTTGGCTTTATTTTTAAAAATTTTTTCTTCTCTTCATGATTGACATGACAATAAAATAACTGGTAAACAGTACAAGACACTTCAATTTTTATGGTTCCATTGAGACAAATTTTCAGTACATTTGAATCATGCAGCCTGAGCCTAATTGTGCACTTTAGATAACAATTAGATAGTAGGCTAGGTTACTAGTACTAGGTAATTGATGCAGCATGAATCTTGGTTTTGAAAATGGCAGGAAAGCTCTAGTTGCAGCCCTGAAGATAGATGTTTCACATGCAAGTGCTGTGCCATACTTTACACTTTCTGTCTTTCAGTCTGTTTGGAGGGTACCGTAATAGACTAATACTCATAGAAACAGGTGATATCAGTTAGCTAAATAGTGGTGGTGTTTTTGCCACATTCAAGGCTAGCTTCTGCCTAATTTTCAGGTTTGAAACTCTAGGTATGTAATATGAATAATAAATAAAAACTAAAAGCAGCTCTAATAAATAAAGATTTGAAGAGACAAAATCAACCATAAATTGAATTGCAGGTTTACATTTGTACAGATTAGGCTCCTTGGACTGCATTGCTCAATCTATGAAAATTAGCTAAATATATTATAGATTGGGAAATATTAATTATCATATATATTTGACTTTACAGCAGTATAGCTCAAGCCCAGCCTCCCAGGCTGCCAGGTAAGCAAGCTCAACTCTACAAAAAATTCAGTGCAGATTATACAAGCAAAAATTGATATGTTGCTTTCAAGCATTGTAAAACTCACCGAGAGCAAGAGTCAGTAAAAAAATTTGAACTATCATAGAAACAATTGACATAGAAAATAGTAGTAGCCCCATCTCGCTTCCTCTATCCGCTTTCAGCCTTATTCGCAAACCATCTGCAAGCCGCGGCACTTGCTACAAATCGTTTCGTGGCATGTAAACATTGCGTTCGGACACACCGAGTGTGTCTTTGGTCCAGTAATCCGGAATTATGTTTTTTATATAATAGTTTGTAACATAGTTGAACTAGTTCAACCATGGTTTTTATCGTCTAACGTCAACTTAACGTCAAGTTGGAGTATTTTTTTATCACGAGTTATTGATAAAATCACTTGGTATATTAAGGAAACTCGACCAGTAAGACAGTTTGTTAAAAATTGTGGAGGTTTAGCTTAAAATTTTTTCTAAATTATGGCGTTCTTCGAAGGGGATGCATTCATGTAAAATTCTGTAATAATTCCTGCGGCAGCGTATCGATAATTAATACTCTCATTCCAAAATTCATGCAGATCCGTTAAGTATTGAAGGAATTATGAGCGGCCCAGTTGCTTAAAAAATACGTTTATTGGTTTTAATAAAAAATAATTCATGTAAAATTCTGTAATAATTCTTGCGGCAGCGTATCGATAATTAATACTCACATTCCAAAATTCATGCAGATCCGTTAAGTATTGAAGGAATTATGAGCGGCCCAGTTGCTGAAAAAATACGTTTATTGGTTTTAATTGAAAAATAATTCATGTAAAATTCTGTAATAATTCCTGCGGCAGCGTATTGATAATTAATACTCATATTTCATAATTCATGCAGATCCGTTAAGTATTGAAGGAATTATGAGCGGCCCAGTTGCGCGAGTCCGCAGGCGGGTCCGTAAAATTATCGATTGAGTCAGCATCATGGTTGAACTAGTATAAGGTTGACCCATCAGAAGCCCATTTTTGCGGATGTAGCTCGTTGTTCGCCTGTGACGTCACTGATCTCAATGACGTCACGGGCATTAACCAATCACCGAAATGCGATCAAACCAGTCGACCAATCAGGCATGGGAATGCCGGGTTTATTTACGTTTCTCGATCTACGTGACGCAACAAGAAAGCTGAACTGAAAGAAGTTCCTCTCGTGGGTCAACCTTATATAGTTCAACCATGAGTCAGCATTGCTCAAGACCAGAATTTCTTTCATACTCCTTTCCGTGCACAAGTCTGCTACAGGGCAGAGTAGCCTACGTGATTATTTGTTAGAAACTAAAGGAATAAATTTCCATCATTGTTGGTTCAAGTTCATGTGGTGAGATGAGTACAGCTGCTTGGGTGCCAGGATGACAACATCTATAGACTATAATGATATCCCCTCTCGTCCCTCAGATGATAATGATGCCGCGCCGAGGGTCGGACATCGACGTGATGCTAGCCTTTAAAAGGTTGATCTTTGCTTCAGGGCTGATTTGAAAGTTAATTTGTTGGTCTACGGCTACGCACCCCTCCGAAGAACGTTTTTTCTTCGTAGAGAGAGTCGGTTTTTTCACATTAGTCGGTGTTGTGAGTAATGACACCCTACAAGTGGGTTCGATGACTATATTAGGAAACCAGTTGAATTTGGCCCAACATACCAGAAGACGACTACCATTATAGGCTTTATAGCTACTGAAGTTTCATCTCTAATTATGCGGGCTTCAGCTACGCCAGTCGTAACGTCTCTGCCTATTAAGCACCGGCAGGATAATAAACATACTGCATCCGATTCCTGGTTTGATCTCCGAACTAAACTTTGGAATTGAAGACATGAAAATAACACCGAGACAATGTTAGAACATACTATATTAAAGCACTTAATGCAATATCATTGGTATATAGACGAGCAAAAGTAGCAAACATTTACCTGGAAAAGGTCAGTTGCAAACATAATTAAATGGAGCGCATAAGCACAGCTCTTAATAATAAGTAGAGATAAAATGCAAAGCATAGTTGCAGATCTAACATATTGCAGCGTTCATTGAGATTAATTAAGCGACTAGCGTAGTTGTGGAGACATAAAATCGTGTGAAGTTTGTCTTGATAAAACCTTACAAATTTACTCCTACATATCCTTATAAAATAAATACTTGTGACTCGAATTATTGGTGCGCAGAGAGAGAAGCCTTTTTAATTTTAATATAAAGTAAAAACACTCATGGTATACATCCAGATTAATTTCTTGCACACCCCAAGGCTATTCCTAACAGGATTCTAATAAAACCTTTTATTAACAATGCCTACCAAGCCCTTGAATAGTACTATTTTTAGGCAAAATTGATAGTTATTTGAGACTACATGTATAGGTATATATATAGTGCCAACTGCCAATGCGTCACTTCTTGATGGGTTTTAAATTAAAAAAAGAATCCTAATAATTAGAGCCATAATTCACAACTGCTGAATGATTTGGTTTGATTAACCTCATATTAAATATTACCTACACAAGAGGAACACGCACACAATACATAGAACGTTGTAGCTCTATGTGTAGTGTCAGTATCTCTGCAGCAGATAATATTGATTATTTAGATAAATATATTCACTGAGTTTCGAACTATTATACATATGAGATCTGACAATTAGTAACAGGCAAGCAAAATAGAGAAAAAAAGTAACTTCTATGAGAAGGTCTTTCAGATCGTCTGAGTATCGAATTAAGTGCAGGACTACGCGGCATCTGCTGATGTCATCAGGAGCAGCTGACTACGCTGGCATAAAACGTACGGTATTACCTGCTGACGTTTCCGAACCATGGAGCCTTTACTTTAGCCATCAGTGGGACATATGATATCAAACCGCTATATTAATGTACCGTAACAACGTCCATCTGACCAGCAATGGCCACTGACGGGATATATTGCACATTTGCATGCTCATAAAAACTCATGCAATTCATTTACCAAGATTCTAATGGTTTCCTTGCATACGTATATTGCACGATGTTCACTGAACACCATCAAACAAGTGCCTCAATTCACAGTTTCATTGAAAAGTTCACACTTTTATTATTTTACCTATCTTTGGCTTTTAGGTCAACGCAACACTTGTGCTTCCTTGAGTCATCTCATCATTACCATTTCAATGTTTGTTCCTGGAACACCATTGTTGTTTTTGCTCTCTTCATTTACCACGTTATTTGCGGTTCCTGCGAAAGAAGTTGAGTAGCGCTAGTTTGAAATTCTTCCATCTATTCGCAGTAGATTTAGACCGCGTCATCTTGAGAGCGGCTCGCAGCCCGCCATCAGCAGTGTGGGGTAAGATGCCACATGGGGGAAGAGGTAGGTTCTTACGCCCACATCTGATGGCTCGTACTGCAGTGTGGAAGACTTCCTCCACGCCTTGACGCAGAGCTGCTGACGTCTCAAAGAACGGCCACCCGTACGACTGAGCCAATGTCAGGCCTTCTTCTGTTGATACCTGCGCATGATAGAAAGGTTGACACTTCAAGTGATATTGGGGGCGGTGCAATGTTAGGGGGCGGGGCGAGAGTGTCATAGCAGAATGCCCCTGTGTGATACAAGAGTGTAAAACCAATGAGTATCCCAGGTGTTTGAAGCCTGTCTGTATGAGTAACCAGAATGTGTTGCCAGGTGTGTGAATGCATCCCGTAATTAATGAATCTTCACATCGCTTATTAGACACCCATTGAGTATTGTTGCTCTCGTCCTAAATTCCCAAATAACTAAGAAGAATCAATACAACTGCTCTCAAGGGTTCTACCACACACGCACAGCGTTCAGTCCCTTGGCTATAACCGTACAATTGTGCGCGAGGTCTACCTTGGTGCCCAGCTATAACCGTGTCCAGTACCCAGCTATAACAGTGTGCAGTATCCCAGCTATAACAGTGTCCACTACCCCAGCACTAGCCGTTTCCAGTAACCAGCTCTAATGTGAGACGATGATTTGGTCGTGGATGATGCGATATTGAATCGTAATCAAGTATGACCAGAGGGTTGGTCGCGCTCCAACCATGTCCACTACCTCCACACTAACCGTGCGTTGGTGCGCCAGATCGAGCTTAGTGCCCACGAGCACCACGGGGCACACGCTGGAGGCACGCAAGGCGCCGATGAGGTCCGCATACCGAGGCACCTCGTCAAAGCTGCGGCGGTCGCAGGTGGCGTAGCAGATGATGAAGCCCTCGCCGCAGCGCATGTACTGCTCACGCATCGCCGTGAACTCCATCTGCCGCATCATTCACTCATTCATGAGCCCTCGAGGGTTTATTACAGAAAATTACTTCATTGAGAACTTTAAAGCAAGCAAAGAAATTGCCAATAAATTCATCATGTTTTCATCTACCTCAAACTTGGCGTTTCCTTTGCCTTTGGATTTTTGGTGCATTTGTGATTTAAGCAAACTAATTATTCAAGAATACATATACTTGCACTACATCATTGTTCAAGAGAATTTGATCACGGATGAAGGTTTCTGGCCTCAATTTTTATAATACATACATGTTATAGTGACTTACATCTTTTGCATGTTCTTTAATCTTGCTATTTGATTATTAATTTTTCAAGAATACCAAATACAACACCCAATGAAAAGAATGCACAGAAGCGTCCAGAAGGTCCAGCAAAATGATCACCTCACCAGTAGTTTTCTGAATGTCCAGCATGGAGGCTCACCTGCCCAGCTGTGTCCAGAATATCCAGCATGGGGGCTCACCTGCCCAGCTGTGTCCAGGATATCCAGCAGTGCAGGTTCATCATCAATAACGGCCTGCTGCTGGTAAGCATCCTCTGAAAAATTGCCATAAACTTCACAACCATTCACTGAAATAACCACACAATGCCAAAATAACAGCATAACAGCATTTTTACACATGTTGGGAATAAACTTCTAAAGTTGTCATCTCAAGAATAACACTGCTTGCCTCTGTGAGAAATAATTCAGGACAGAAATAATATGGTAACATGAAGTTAGACTTGCAAATTGGAATAAATATTTAACACGCAGAAATGTTTCAGTAATTATAAGAAAGACTCACCAATGGTAGGATCGTGGTAGTCAAGGAAACAATGCCTCACAAACTGCAGGGTCAGGGCTGGCAGAAAAACAGAATAGATGTTTCATTTAATAAATATTACAGATTATATATATCATGGAAGTCTGTTTGCATTAACTTATACATTTAGTCAAAGGTGTTAATAGGCCTTGGCAAGTACCTATATATTTGCCTTCAAACTGTAGATTATTTACTAGTTACATACATGGAATTTGTAGGATTTGGCAAGCAAAAATATCATAGGAAACTCACCAGACTTGCCCACTCCCCCCTCCCCGAGCACTACAATCTTGTAGACAGAAGTTCCCCCCTGGCGCTGCTCACACTTAGCAGGCCCTTCACCCGCAGCCTCCTCCAGCACTGAAGGCATCTCCAGATGCTCTTGAACAAGTTAAACCTTGTTCATCACAAGACAATATTTATCTATCGCATCACCTACCCAATTATGTTTGTTTGCATTATTTTGAAACAAAATTGAACATTTATTTTACTTCATCATTCAATCAACTATAGAACATAACTTTTTTCACAGACTAGAAAAATAGTTGTAAATCTTCATTAGTGTGATATCAAATGCAAATGAGTTTTTAGCAGCAGCTACTAAGATGCATTATACCTAGGTAAAAATTAACATACTTTTGAACCTGAATTGCAGTTTTAAGAACAAAGAGAGAAAACATTTCTACAAAAAAGGGACACAATACATAGCTATCCCACAACTGTATAGGGTGTTAAATCAATGCTTCCTTATAAAACACTATAAAAGCAAAAGCATGACCAATTTGGGACTTAGGTACATATTGGAGGATGGTAAGTTAGTAATGTTAAGCAATTCTCTTTATGTCATGACAGTCGCAAAGATTTATTTGAAAAAAAATCATAATTATAATTACTAACATTGCCATACAATTGAATTTAAACCAGTTTACCGCATTGTCAAAATTGGCAAGGACTCTGGAGCTATGGCTGTTAGGGGTAGCAAAGTGTTTAGGAATTGGGCACAAGCCAGCATGCCTGAGCATGGCAATGGGATGGTCAAAGCTGACCCTGACAGCCAGACAACACATAGATGTAGATTAGCATTTTCCTACATATGAATGCAATCTTGCAGTTTGTTAAAATTCATTTACTTGTTAAAACCTTTATTGTAATTACGCTTGTTGACAGTCACTTATTAGTAGGCAAAGTCAACTGCCTCATGCCTTATCAAAAGAATGATGAACTAGACTTACGACTGTGCGGATTAGATCCTGAAACCATTTGCTTCATTCGTGAAATCTTTTTGTCTTTTTCTGATTTTGTGTTTGCGCAAATGTGTTTTCCTTTTATTAAGTTACTAAATTGCATGTTTGCGCCCCTGTGTTCGCTCGTCACAATTTGCTTATTGGCTATGAGCCTTCTTTGAACCCGTAGGGTTTGGCTCCGTGGAGCTTTGGAACTTAATTCTTCAGGCCCTTTGTGGGATTCAACTTGCATGCATTCAACTTAACTTCACCCTTATTACCTTGACTTGTGAGTGAACACTCCTTACCCTATTTTCACTTTTTTCACTTCTTATTGTTCTCAACAAGAGAACTCTTACTATGGTTGCCATCCTTGGTAACAATAGGTATGTATCAATAAATTCATTCTGATTATGTTTGCTACCATAAAATGGGGTTACTTTGACTGGTGGGGTAACTTTGACCACTTCTTGTTTTTTTAACAAAAACCCCCAAAAGTCAAAAACAATTTGACATAGAAAAATTTTGTCAATGGCCATCAAAGGCCTAATACTGAGGCTACCTAACACAATAGAAAGATTTAAAAAGTTTGCATATCTAATAGGTTAAAAAATTAATAATGTGACCCACAAAAAAAAGCTATTATTTAAAGCCTGTCGGAGTACCCCCTCCAATTTTTTAATTTTTTTGGTAAAATAACCCCAGGTTTTGCTGCATTGCAGTAGAATTTTTCTAGTTACATATGCAAAAGACAAATTTTAGGAAAGTGTCATAGTTTGCAAATGGGGGGCACCGCGTCCCAATGGGGAAACTTTGACCACCTTCTGGCAGCCGTGATGGGGTAACATTGACCGGCTTGGAAATCAAGTTAAAATTACCATACGTACCTATATAACATATTTTGTTTGATATACCTATTAATGTTTTTTTCTTCATGTCTCAGACTCTACAGTCTTACATATGGTAATTTTAACTTAATTTCCAAACCGGTCAATGCTACCCCGTCACAGCTGCCATTAGGTGGTCACATTTCGCCCATTGGAGGGCGGTGCCCCCCATTTGCAAACTATGACACTTTCCTAAAATTTGTCTTTTGCATATGTAACTAGAAGAGTTCTACTACAATGCACCACAACATGGAGTTATTTGGATTTATTTTACCATAAAATAAAATTGATTTTACCACCCAGTCAAAGAAACCCCATGAGCTGGGGTAACAAAGACCATCACTTTTTTTTAAATTACATCAAAACTATGAGAGGCAGGAGCCAGCAATTTATGGTGAGTAAAGCTAGAGTATAGACCTGTATTTTGCATGTTTCAATTTAAGTTTAATTCATCTAGTAAAAAAATGGCATCACTTTGAAAAAAAAGTGGTCAAAGTTACCCCATTTTACGGTATGACTGTTATTCGCTGCGATATTAGCTAGACTTTATTCGGTATTTTGCACTAAGTCAACCATTCATATTCACCAGATAAGAATCTCCGCAACTCAACTTACCGATTGGACTTGAAACCTGCTATTTGTTCTTTTTTCCATAACCGGATCTAAATAATATTGTCCTGTAACGTCGCTTTTGTGGTAAGACTTGAGAGATCATCAATCTCGCATTAGTGACTCATTCCAATTGCAAGCTAATATTGTTTTATATGCCCAACAATTACTGTTCCAATAGTGATGTCATTCTTATTCTACAGCTTTTGCAACCTTTGCCATTATCATCTCCCTATTGGAAGATGTTAACCACTTTGCCAGGACTTCTGAATAAAAGTTTCGTCATTTTTGTTGGTTGTTTTCTATACACTTGTACCTAAATCCAATAAGTTACAAAACAACCAATTTTTAATAAGTTTTGATCTACTAGCCCAATTGTACAGTTTTAATAACAATTGGATAGGAGAAATGGTAGTTCATCCAGCAGGAATCTTGCAGCTCTGAAAATGGCTGGAAAGCTCTAGGCATGGCTTAAATCTGGGATGGCTGTGGATTTCAGGCCACACTCAGGATGATGTATGTTTTCGGTGACTTGTCCCAATCATGAATTTTTTAATTCATTGGTCCATGCAGTTTGCATATAAAATTTAAATAATTTCTTTTCATGCAGGTGTTTGCACAAAACCGGACCATTAATTCTGCACTGCACAAACATTGGAGCATGTGGGCTGGTGGCCATGTGGACTTATGAGGGTCGTTTGGACTTGCAATGGATGCGTGGGCTTGCAATGGCCCTGTGGACTTGCAATGGTCATGTGGACTTGCAATGGTTGTGTGGACTTGCAATGGGCGTGTGGACTTACCATGGCTGTGTGGACTTACAATGGCCGTGTGGACTTAAGATGGCCATGTGGACTTAAAATGGCCGTATGGACTTGAGATGGCTGGGTGGACTTCCAATGACCATGTGGACTTCTGATGGCTGTGTGGACTTCCGATGGCTGTGTAGACTTGCAATGGCCATGTGGACTTGCAATGGCCATGTGGACTTGCAATGGCCATGTGGACTTGTAATAGCCATGATGGGTTCACAATGGCTGTGTGGACTTGCAATGGCCCTGTGGACTTGCAATGGCCATGTGGACTTGCAATGGCTGTGTGGACTTGCAATGGTCATGTGGACTTGCAATGATCATGTGGACTTGCAATGGCCATGTGGACTCGCAATGGTTGTGTGGACTTGCAATGGTTGTGTGGACTTGCAATGGTTGTGTGGACTTGCAATGGTCCATGTGGACTTGCAATGGCCATGTGGACTTGCAATGGCTGTGTGGACTTGCAATGGCCCTGTGGACTTGCAATGGCCATGTGGACTTGCAATGGTTGTGTGGACCATCAATGGTTGTGTGGACTTGCAATGGCCATGTGGACTTGCAATGGTCATGTGGACTTGCAATGGCCCTGTGGACTTGCAATGGCCATGTGGACTTGCAATGGCCATGTGGACTTGCAATGGCCATGTGGACTTGCAATGGCCATGTGGACTTGCAATGGCCTTGTGAACTTGCAATGGCCATGTGGACTTGCAATGGTCGTGTGGACTTGCAATGTCATGTGAACTTGCAATGGTCGTGTGGACTTACGATGGCTGTATGTTGTTGCGATGGCCATGTGGACCTGTGATGACCATGTGGACTTGCAATGGCCATGTGGACTTGCAATAGCAGTGTGGGTTGGCAATGGCTGTGTGGACTTGCAATGGCCCTGTGGACTTGCAATGGTCATGGGAACTTGCAATGGCTGTGTGGACTTGCAATGGCTGTGTGGACTTGCAATGGCCATGTGGACTTGCAATGTTCGTGTGGACTTGCAAGGTCATGTGGACTTGCAATGCTCACGTGGACTTGCAATGGTCATGTGGACCATCAATGGTTGTGTAGACTTGCAATGGCCATGTGGACTTGCAATAGCAGTGTGGGTTTGTAATGGCTGTGTGGACTTGCTATGGCCCTGTGGACTTGCAACGGCCATGTGGACTTGCAATGGCCATGTGGACTTGCAATGGCCATGTGGACTTGCAATGGTCGTGTGGACTTGCAATGGTCATGTGAACTTGCAATGGCTGTGTGGACTTGCAATGATCATGTGGACCTGCAATAGCCATGTGGACTTGCAGTGGTTGTGTGGACTTGCAATGGTTGTGTGGACTTGCAATGGTCATGTGGACTTGCAATGGCCATGTGGACTTATGATGGCCATATGGACTTATGATGGCCATGTGGACTTGCAATGGTCATGGTGACTTGCAATGGATGTGTGGACTTGCAATGATCGTGTGGACTTCTGATGGCCATGTGGACTTGCAATGGCCATGTGGACTTGCAATGGTCATGGTGACTTGCAATTGCTGTGTGTACTTGCAATGGCCATGTGGACTTGCAATGGTCATGTGGACTTGTAATGGCCATGTGGACTTGCAATGGTCATGTGGACTTGCAATGGTTTGTGGACTTGCAATGGCCATGTGGACTTATGATGGCCGTGTGGACTTATGATGGTCGTGAGGACTTATGATGGTCGTGAGGACTTGATGGTCATGAGGACTTATGATGGTCGTGAGGACTTATGATGGCCGTGTGGACTTACGATGGCTGTGTGGACTTACAATGGCTCTGTGGACTTACGATGGCCATGTGGACTTACAATGGCCGTGTGGACTTACAATGGCCATGTGGACATACAGTAGTCATGTGGACTTATGATGGCCGTGTGGGCCTCTGATGGCTGAGTGGACTTACGGTGGCCGTGTGGACTTACGGTGGCTGTGTAGACTTACGGTGACCTTGTGGACTTATGGTGGCCATGTGGACTTATGACGGCCGTGAGGACTTATGACGGCCGTGAGGACTTACGATGGCCATGTGGACTTACGATGGACATGTGAACTTACAACGGACGTGTGAACTTACAATGGACATGTGAACTTACGATGGCCGTGTGGACTTACAAT